ATGACGAGCTGGTTCGAATGTCTGAACAGCCCACTCCCACTCTGTCTTCATTGTTCCACAAACTTCTGCCAGCCTAGCCGCTGCTCGTCGCGGTTTTCCAGACGCGATGAAGTTCTCAATCATCGCTCTTCCTAGAGACTTCCTGTCCCATTCAAAATCTCCCAAGTCTGTCTCCTTCTCGCACATCAACTCCCAAGCTTCTTCCCAGAGGTCGTTTTCTATCCTCCAACGAATCCTGTCCGCAGTACTGTAGCGGGTTACTGTAATGAGGTCACTAGGACCAGCAAGGAAGTAGCACTCGCAAGTGGGTAAACCCGCCATAGTAAAGTGGGATGGCTGAGGGGTAAGATTGCCTGTTGACAGGGTTAGTCCATCCTCTGCTAGGAGGGAGTAGGACGAAAAAGTTTTAGGTTCAAATAGGCAAAGTTGGACTTGTGGATTCGAACTATTCTCTTCTGGAGCAGAAGAACTGGTTGGTAGATTAGCGTCCAATTCGCAACCATACCGTAATCCAAAAACTACCATATTCGGAAATTCTTCAGAATTTCTTACAGCGTATGATACTCCTGTACAGAACATATCCAGGTTCCACTGAAAATAAATTTCCACGCTTTTCACCCCTTCTTCCGCTACTACCTTGGCTATGGTAAGAGTATCCGCCCATGCGACGGCCAACAAAGCATCGTCTATCCAGCAATGTGACGCAGGATACTGTAGGAAATTATTGGCGGGACCCGTACCGCTGTGTGATGGAGGTATAAGCGAAATCAGTTTTCCCACTTCTCTATCATAAATTGTAGTTCCCCCGCAGTTAGTAAATGCTATAAGTGATTGCTGCCATGAACATTCCATAATATCACCATTTCTCTCTTGACCAGAATAGATTATGGTATCCCTATACTTGAGAAATTTTCTCTCGTAAATTACCAATTTCCTTTCGGCGACAGCGAACATCGGCACTGAACCCGATTTGGAGAAAAGAGGACTTATCGCTATACAACGTGGCACAGTTGACAAATTCAGCACATAATTCAAGTTGTCACATCCTAAGCCTGATATGACAACTCGTCCATCGCTTCCACAACTCATTACATAGTTTCCATCACTATCCATCGACAACTTGATAACAGCGCTTCTATGTGGACGAGTCATCGGCAAGTGTTTGTGATCGACATGGCCAAAATGATCCATTATCCATAAATAACCTTGTTGCGTTCCGATCGCAATGAGTTTCAGATGAACAGTGATGGCAGTTATTATCTGAGTGGCCTGCAACTGCTTCATATCGGGACCTTCAACTCGCTGGTATTTGAAGCATGGCTCTAGAAGCCCCTCCTCTTCTTCCAGATCCGATTCTTCCAGATCACTGTTCATTTCATCAATGACGTCTTCTTCTCGTTCGGAAGCCATGCTTTATTCCATAAACAGGGGCGAATTCTGTAAGAAAATTCGTAGTGCATCGAAATCAATATATCGATTAACGCAGCACTGATGGGCTACGTCCGTATTTA